CATGCAAACCATCCATCCATTACGTAGTCTTGCCTTAGTTTAATTGTCGGGAACTCCGGTAGGGTTTAAATAGCTTAGAATGGAGGTCCATGCTGAACACATGGGACTCCTTCTACGTATACGCAGTACTACTACTACTACTACTACTACTTAATGAGAATGATTCTCCATATAAGGGGGGCGAATTGATTACGACTATGTATTGATATTACTAATTATTGTACTGTATGTGGCATGCTTGTTCTGCTGACCTGATCTCACCGCTTCGCCTTCCGCTTTGACCCAGCCCTAAGATGAGCCTTGCATGGATCCATGAGATATTGATCTCCGAAGTCCACTACCAACACGAAATATACTGGACTATTGAATATACCTAAATGTAGTCTAAACCACCTTCAGCCAGTGACATATCGCCAAGCAGACCGGCAAGGTATACCCATCCCTCTACTTTCCCGCCTTGTCTGGCCTTCTCTTAGGAGAACTTAAAAGGGCTCCCCATTCATCTTGCACCTTTAGATCACCGTTTAGAGCATGTTGGCTCAGGGTAACAGGTCCCCATCATAAACATGGCAAGCTATGTGTTTTCTGATCACCTAATATTTTATTTTGATTTTCTTCCCTTTCCCCGTCATCTTGAACCCCAAGAGTCCCCTTCATGCCCAGACCTATGGTTAAAGATTTCTATATACAAGGCCGAGTATACTCAAGATTACTCTTCTCTTCTTTATTAGATGTACGATGATATACCCACCATACCAGCCATAACTTGTTCTAAGCCATATTGACTGTTATGCTGGCCCTAAACAAATCCTCAAATGCAAGCCGTGACGGTTTAACTTATATATATCCCAAAAAGGCAATATGTCGTATGGCATCTAACGTCCATCATCATGCGATGTTCCAATCGCAATACACATCACCGAATACTAACAGGCCAACTGTCATGTGTCAGATTACCTTCAATGGACATTATCATCGGATGAATCGCGATCTCCGGCTAAGTTTGAGGCCAGAGTCCTCGGCGCTCTCCTACGATGCTCAAGACATACCCCAGTGAGCAGCCATTCGGCTGTATTCAATGTTTGGGACATATTGGCTTGTCAAATCTACGTGCATTCAGTCAAGAGATGTAGAGCATCAGCCGTTGCTACCTCAGCAGCTGAACTTGGGCATTTTTAGACCGCACTCGCCGCCTTTTGTGAACCTGTACTGTGAGCTGGACTACAAGCTGCACACGCCTGTGCGCTGAAGCCAAATGGAGATACACATGAGTACTGGTCGAATATGAGCACCAGACTCACTACCTTTTCTTTTCCTTTCCTTCTTCTTTGTTTTCCCAGATCTACACATAACCTAACCTCTATTGTCCAAGACCGAAGTCACAAGACCTTGATGTGGAGCTCCATATCAAATATACTCCGTAGTGCTGAATAAACTACTGTGGGTAGTCTCATGAGACAGGCGGTAATATCGTTGCTGGGAACAAAGATATTCTTGATTCAGGTCATTTTCAAGTCCCATTTCACCCTATATCACACAAACTTCAGGATAGCTCATAGCATTCCGTACAACCAACAAAAAGCTCGTATGAAAGTATCTATTCCCCGACATTATCAGCACAAGACTTTGCTCAGAGTACAGCCGTCATTTTACTTGTGGAGAGTGAAGGGCTTTTTAGGAAATTACCTCCCTTCTGGGCTCCCTCGCTTATAAGCCTCCAGCCCCTCCAGTGGGTTTACTCCGTAGTGATGCCCCATTTCCGGAACGAGCGGAGTCTTGTAGATCCAGCAAGCAAAGGTCAGCTCGGAACCCACCATTTGGTTTACTTTCGAAAAAATAGAAAGAGTCTGCATAATACGGTGCCCCCCTGCCAGTGGTGTCAAGGTTTTAGAGCACTGATATGATGACGTCGTTTGGAAAACCAGGGTCGAACATTTGACGTCGTCCTCGTTTACCAAAACAGGTGGCTATTGCCCATCTTTAAGTCTTTGATGACCAATGCTAGCTCCACTATCTTCCGAGAATTTTAAAATTTGACCAATAGGGTATGACATTTAAGCTCGCACGTGTCTTCGCGAACATACCCCGTATAAAATGAAGTATTTGCGAACGAGTTCAACTAGTAGTAACCTGCCGTCAAGGTAGCCGATTCCCATAGAGGTATGACTGCAAGAACCAACATTACAGCCAATAGCAAATGAGATCAATGTCCTGTCTTCGCAAGACGCACAGACAACCCAAGGTTCTATGATTAGAAACCAAACAAGCGCTGGCTGCAAAATACGGCGGAAGCGACCACAACTAGCCGCCGTCCAAGAACCAGCGCTATTCGGAGCCATTCCTACACGAGGGCTAAGTATGATCCATTCATACCATGCCCTGCAGGATTTAGGGTTATTCCAACATCCTTTTTACACAGACTCTGTAGACCAGTGCTATTGTTGTCCCGGAAATGCACGATTGATGAACCTAACCGGAAGGCTTGGTATTTAGCTTTACCCGTTCAGCCACGGGCAGCTGCGCCTCCATTTTCCGGCAAAGAAATGAAACGCCACTAACCGGCATAGCCGGGCCGGAGGAAATCCATATGTCGTCATAGGGTCAAAAATGCGTTGGATGAGAAAGTCTTTGCTATTGAATCGGTCTGCTTTTGAAGAGTGCAGAAGGGTCGGTCAACAAGGACACTGCAGGAAATGGCTAAGTGTGCCGGGTAACAATCTGGGGCAGAAAAAAGAAAGAAAAAGAAACAATGAATCCTCCTTTCTTTACAAGTTATAGCGCCTCATTATTATTAATCACGGGTAATGACGACCTCCGCTGAAGAGGGGCGTTGGTCAAACTAGTCAGGCACGGTCTCCGAGCTACTACGTAGTATGTTCTTAGCAGTGGAGCTATTGCTCGAGATGAGGAGAGTCTCACGGACCACTCGGAACAAAGTCTCAATCGACAAAATCATTGGATATGCCGACCAATTTCCGCGATAGAGCCCCCACTTCAGGGAACACTGACCAGCATTATCCACAAATCACGTCCACTTGTTCATTTATCCCTATCGACAGTAGGTTAGGCCCGAATTTTTATAGTGCTGTTACAATATTTAACCTCTCGATTGTCTTACTACATAGTGTTGCCTTCGATGACCGATACGGAGGAGACTAGTCGGTCGAGAGTTCCCATTGTGTATGCTGGGTGTCATGGCCGGTACACAGAGGTACTCTAATGCCTCGCTTTTATTTTCCGAGCTCAGCATTGGTGTAAGTGATAATCGATATACTAGTAAAGTAACTACCAGTATATGGAGAGCCTGCACGCTGTTTCATGCAGTGCCCCGAGGTTGTATAGCCGAAACACAAACTTAGATCGAAACCGTTGGTATCTAGTATGTGCTTTTGTCCACCTAGGATTGTGGGTTATCACGAGCCGGGAATGCAAGGCTCAAGACATCTGCATCAGGTCGTGACTTGAACTGAATGTACGGAGTACATACTAACTACTAGTTAGTACGGAGTACGGAGTAGTAATGTACATACATACTTTCATACATTGCCCCAGTTAGACTCCTTGCATTATGGCCACTGGCTGCTTTGATCATAAATATGACAGCTACTTCCAAATCATTACGGGATCTGCAGGTTACACGTTGATCCTTATTCTCGTTGGTTTTAGGATGTTCTCCCACCCTGCGGAGTACATGCTGCAACTAACCGGAGCACTCGATTATGCGAACAGGTATATGAAAGTTCAATGAAATCGATAACATCAGTCCTTGCCTCAATCTATGGAAGCAACATGGAAAGTATAAAAGATTATAGCTGGAGAAGATCTACTTGAACAATATTGACTATATGGTACAACGCCATACAGTCATGTACGTAACCTCAACCCAGTCGGGATTCGGGAGAGGCTTTTGACTACTACTAGTAAGGGACTACTTATTAAGAGCACTAGTAGTCAATGGATGACTCCATAGCTATAAACTTTTTGGCTTGCATAAAACTTACCAGGACCATGTTTGACTATATGAGTTTTAGTCCAACCGATTGATTCATTACGGAGCCCGTTTGTAGTTTTGACTGTCATTCGATCCGATTGTTATCACTCGCATCCCTCTTCATATACACACTCTCAATTTGATGCTCCACCGTCTACTATTTCCATCCTGATTTTGGTCCACTTTTGCTAACTTTTCCGCGGTCTTTTAAGTTTCCCCCCTCCACTATGTGAAATTCCGCCATGGCCAACCAGATATGTGTAAATGATGAGGACTCCACTGGGTATGAACGATGGAAGACTTCCGTTTCTTCTCTGCCTCTCCTTAAACTTAACCCCCTAAAGTACTAGGTACCTACAGTTAGTTGGGAGCTGAGTGGTACCCATCCTGGCTGACCAATCATGGCCTCGTGTAAATGGGAAATGGTATTGTCAATCTCCATCAGGAGGCTCCAATCTGATTAATTACTTATTATTATTATTATTATTTAAATTCCTTTTTTTTTTTTTAAAAAAAAAAAAAAAAAAGAATTTCTCTTCACTTTGTTCTGTTCCTGTTGAGCCGTTGGATCGATCGCGTTAAGAAGTAACCACAGAAGTTGTCTCTCAATGTTTAATGTGCTTTCAACCCGATCGTCCAGTGAATTAGTAGACTGTAGTTTAATCTCCATGTCAAGGCTTACCATACGTTGACGGTGAAGTTGTATAGTATAAGTTATTGTGGTACCTCTTGGTGGCAGTTTCGGAGCGTCGGCTGATTATTGGTGCTATTTACTACTGCCCAGGGTTGCAATTGCTAACGACAACCAACTTGTCATCTGAGATGCCTGTATTTTATTTTACTTGATTTGACTTAAATTTTTACCACTTACCTTTGCACCTCCCCTTTTTTGTTTGTTCATCAGAGTTTCCCTTGCCTGTTGTATTTTTCTTCTGGTTTGTTTCTCTCTCTCTTTTTTTTTTTTTTTTTTTTTTTTTTTTTTTTTTTTAAATTTTATTTCCTCTCATTCCATCCACATAAGCAGTTTTCTTTTCCCCCTGCAGTCAAGACCAAAAATTCCCCCGGGGCGAAAGTTTCCTGCTTTTTCGCTCGGTCGCTTCCGCCGGACTCGCTCCACATCCAATCAAACCCCCTCTTTCGCTCTTCGCTCTCCCTCACCCTTCTTCCTTCAGCTTTCACCTACCGCCCTCTTCCCGCGTCCCCTCTCCCCGAATCCTTCTACACTCGCTCCCAGTCCCCTGGATATTACCCAAACGCCTGTCGCTGTCGACTCTTCTCACTCCCCCCTTTTTCTTTCTATATTCTCCGCTCGCTCCCCCATTCCGATCACGCCCACCTGTATCAATTGACTATCACCCTCTCCAGGGGCTTGCTCCGTCAAGATGGCAGCCGATATGAGCGGCGAGCAGATGCAGGCAAAGATCACCGCGGCCCGGCGCGAAGCTGAAGGCTTGAAGGATAGGATCAAGCGCAGAAAGGATGAGCTGGCTGATACCACTCGTATGAAACCCCGTTTCCACTGCGAGTGACGAGCAGCCCCCGACATTCGGGGGCTTTCGTGCTATCTGAAATACTGACATTGGCCGTTCAGTCCGTCAAGTGGCGCAAAACCAAACTGACACTTTGCCTCGCATCGGAATGAAACCCCGTCGGACACTCAAGGGCCATCTCGCCAAAATCTACGCTATGCACTGGTCGACCGACCGACGTCATCTCGTATCTGCTTCGCAAGATGGAAAGCTCATCATCTGGGATGCCTACACTACGAATAAAGTCCATGCAATCCCATTGAGGTCATCGTGGGTCATGACCTGCGCCTATGCCCCGAGTGGAAACTACGTTGCGTGTGGTGGTCTAGACAACATCTGCTCAATCTACAACCTCTCTTCGCGTGAAGGTCCTACTCGTGTTGCGCGCGAGCTGTCCGGACACTCGGGATACCTCTCCTGCTGCCGCTTCATCAACGATCGCCGTATTATCACCTCGTCCGGAGACATGACTTGCATGCTATGGGATATTGAATCGGGCTCGAAAGTGACTGAATTCGCCGACCACCTGGGCGACGTCATGTCGATCAGCATTAACCCTACCAACCAGAATATTTTCGTCTCGGGCGCCTGTGATGCTTTCGCGAAGCTTTGGGATATTCGTACCGGAAAGGCCGTTCAGACTTTCGCTGGACACGAATCGGACATCAACGCTATCCAATTCTTCCCCGACGGAAATGCATTCGGCACTGGTTCCGATGATACGTCCTGCCGTCTCTTTGATATTCGCGCGGATCGTGAGCTCAACATTTATCAGGTACGTCGGTTCCACCCCCGTCTCAAACCAACACAGGCAGTAATTGATCTAACCCCGAATCCTCAGAGCGACCAAATATTGTGTGGTATCACATCCGTTGCTTTCTCCGTCTCTGGAAGACTGCTTTTCGCTGGTTATGACGATTTTGAATGCAAGGTAGGTTTAATGTTGAATTTGGCGACGAAATGGACAATTGGCTGACTTCATGCAAGGTGTGGGATGTCCTCCGGGGCGACAAAGTTGGCTCTCTTAGCGGTCACGAAAACCGGGTCAGCTGTCTTGGAGTCAGCAACGACGGCATTAGTCTGTGCACAGGCTCCTGGGATTCTCTGGTAAGCATGTCGCTCGTCGTCAGGGTCGGAGTTCATTGTACTAAACATCTTACTCTCGATACAGCTTAAGGTCTGGGCCTGGTAGAAGCCGAGAACTCCGAAGCAAAAAAAAAAAAAAAAAAAAGCAAAGATACCCTGTCTCTGTCTTGCCATGTCCTTTTCCGATATTTTCACAACATAATCTTGCAGCAATAGGTCGAACATCCGCCGTTGTACGATAATCTTATTTACCGAGGAGCAGTATTGTCGCCTTACTTCCATAATATATGTATTATGTGGGAATGCTGGCGAAGTCATCAAGAAGGGAACGACGAGCTATCAAGGGCAGACTATCAGGGTGGTTGGGAAATTGAGTCGAACCCTGTCACATCGCACCATGGACGCGCTACGACAGAAACATAATCATCAAAAAAAAAAAAAAAAAACAGCAACAAAGTAACACTATTCGATGACTTAGTTACGTGGTGGTCTTAATAATGCTGCCGATCGACAGGCCACGGGGGATGATGGTTGCAGGAGACACCGCGTGGAGATGTCTCTCAGTCAAAGTTGTTTAGCTTCAACCTATACTCCGTGGGCTTTGGAGATCTGCCTTGATTTCTTTTTTTTTTTTTAACACTTCTCTTCTGATATTTACCCATGTCTGCAAATTCCCCTCTTTCCCCCATGTTTTTTTTTATTTTTTTATTTTTTTATTTTTTTCTTTTTCCTTTTGTTCTTCTCTTCTTCTCCAATCCTTGGACTACTTGTGATTGTTCTGTTTTTGATAGCCTCTCTTACGCATTGATTCCTGCATGTACTCTGTTTTTATTATCCAGTGGTGGACAGGGAGGGAATGTTTCCGAATAAGCTATGATGTTTTCCTTGTCTGACTTGTGATCTTTTTTTTTCTTTTCCCTAATTAACTTGCTGTTTCTGAAAGTGTTGGATGTGCCATTTGACTGTTTTCACGAGAGCTTGTCTCGACCTGGAGTTGGGTCTTACTACGTTTCAGCGGCTCCTTTTTTCATCTTCTTTGATCCCCGCCTTATTTTCCTCCACCCCGTTTCATGGTATCTTATGGTTCTCCATTGCAATTAGCTAAGATTTGGGGAGATGATTGACACACTATTGACACATTACTGGTACAAATGGCATACGCAGTTACTTTCGGAACTCTAGTACACAGTGTTGGCGACTGTCAGCTGCTCATAATCCCTGTGAATATAATATGTATTAGACACTTTGCTTTTAGAACTGGTCAGTGCCCAATTGAAACCGGCCCTCCGAGCACCTGTGAAGGAGACATGGTGCGTAATCCGGGCACTTTCCTCTCTTAGCAACTGGACAAAACCGAAGGATGCGCTCCACCTTCTACAGTGGGTGGGTTGGGTTTCGATGTGCATTCAAATTTGAGTGAAGGGACGATCGATTTGAAATAAGTGCCAGCCTGGGGAAAAAAAAAAAAAAAAAAAAAAAGAAAAGACACCCTCGTATCGTGCTCGTGATTATGCACAGACCTCGATCCTGGATGAGCAAATGGATGGCAAGAGAACTGTGTTGGAACTTGGAAGATGCAGGTTTGAAGGATGAATGTCGGTGAGAATGAGCGAAGTAAGCATTGATTAACCGTCAGTCCACGTGGTTGGCTGCTAAAAAAAGCAAAGTTAATTCATTGTCCATCAAAACTTCCCACTTGCTGACTTCTTTCCACGTTGGATCTCAAGAAAACCAACAACAACTTGACCATGACCTGAATGGTTGAGTGGAATGTTCTTCGTCTCTTCTAGTCTACGGCAAATGCTGAAACGGACTCCACTTCTTGAAACACAGCGAGGGAAAAGGGGGTGGGATGCTGATGCCGAGAGGACAATGGGGCACATTAGGATCGGCCCCATCGGACACTCCCTCCGGCTGTTCCAAACTTCCCACCAATTTGTTGTTTCATCCCGCCACTCTTAGCCTCCATCCTCCGTCTCCAGTGAAGTCAATCCGCCTCTCTTTAGCATCACTCTCGTCAGGAGGTTGCACAGACACCTTCTGAAACAACCATCCAAATTAGAGTCGTCATCATCCTCGCCGTTGTTCATTGTTTTGTGCCCCAATTCTGCCGAAACGAACCCTAAAGTGGAACGAGCTACGTGAATCAAAGAAAAGGCAACAGGACAACCCAAAAAAGGAAGGAAAAAAAGGTATTACTCAGGGCAAGAAAAAAAAAGCAAAGAGAAACGAAGGAATACTTCCCTGCCGGTGGTCGCAGATCAAGGCGCAGCCCGACTCTAATAATATCCCACGCCCATCATTGTTCATCCTTCGCTCGTTTAAAAGTCTATATACACCCCCCTCGTGTTCCCTTCCTTTCATTATGTCTTCTGCCCAAGACGAATTCAACCGTCTGGTTCAGTCCAACCGAGAGAAGTATTCTACACATCCTGAGGATCGTGACAACGACTCGGATCACGACTCCAACCCTTCGGACGACGAACAAGATCACCCGCAGTTCTCGGACGACGAGGACCACGATCCCACCATGAGAACCGGCTCGTCCACCTACCATGTCCCAAACATTGTCTTCGATGCCAACACCGGTCCCAAAGGTGTTATAGCCGATGCCCAGGCCTTCGAGCGCGCGCGCGCAAGTTCCTTCCGTAAAACACTGCATCATCCTGACCATGCTAAATACATTGCCGACGATTCCCACCTTTTGCACAATACTCCGCCTCCGGATGGCTCGCTCAGTGATGAGGATGAGGAACACTTTCTCCGCCAATGGCGCGAAGAGCGCATACAGGAACTGAGGAACCGGAGCTTTCGGCGGCCTAGTCCCCGGCGGAGGATGTATGGTTCGGTCGATACAGTCGATGCGGTCGGATACCTTGATGCCATTGAGAAGGTCACATCCGATACGGTAGTGGTCGTCTGTATATATAATCCCGAGGTATGTGTGACACTTCCAATTACTACACGATAGGCTGAAATTTCACTAACTCCTACCGCAGTCAAAGAGTAGCGCTCTAGTAGAAGACTGCCTGGAAGGTGTTGCGCGCAGAAACCCAACCGTCCGCTTCGTTAAGCTCCATCATGAAATTGCCGAGATGGATCATATCAAGGCTCCGGCATTGTTGGCCTACAGAGGTGGTGATGTCTTTGAGACCATCGTCGAGATCATCCGACAGATCCCGAAAGGTCGCGATTGTACCTCCCACACTTTGGAAGATTTACTCAAACTGTACGTTTTACTGGGTCTGATACGCTTGATGTTTCAGATATGCTGACCGTCTCAGATACCGAGTGCTGTAAATATCCACTCGTTCTTACTATTTTCATATATGAAAAATACGGGTCGAAGTGCGCCGGGCGTTATGACTTCTTCCTACCTTAGCATCATTGTCGAGCGTTAGAAATCTTTTCTTATTGCAGGCTGGCAGTGCCATTACTCTGTTTGACTTTTTCATCCCCATGCATATACAAGGTGTTCTGGCGGGTGACGCATTGTGGATCTCATCCTTTTTTTTTTCTGGTTTTATCTCGTTGTCCAGCCATTTGGGTTTAGTGGAGTGATTGAGCTTGAAGATATCCAACATTGGTTCCGTCCCGATATGTCTATATTACCTTTGTGGGGCTCCTTTGCATAAAATCTCACTATGATTGTTCCAATTTCTTGCATTAATATCAAGTTGATTTCAAGTATTGGCGTTATATCTCCGTATTTCATTAGCCGCGGACTTTCGTTAGCAAGCTTTCCGATCTCTTTCTTCAAGGAATCCAGCATCACGGTGCATCCTCCTGTTGGGGTAGTTGTCTTGACTCGTGTATATTCGTTTCATCCATCCTCCGCATGAGTGGGGTAATCTTCCGTTCCCTCTTCTTTGTCTCTTTTTCTTTTTCAATATGTTTGATGTGTCAGGGCCGGTGCCTTGTCCCATTCATCGTACGGTCCATTGATCAGAAATACAAAAAAGCAGTTGGGGTAAGAAGATAAAGGAAGCAGACCAGGATAAAAGGAAAAAAAAAGTGACAGTGATGCAAACAGGTAGATAGAGATGGAGAAGGAAAATGCCCCCCTCCAAAACAATTCACAGAGCGCCCTTCTCTTGCGTGAAATCCCAGAGCATCTTGATCAGGGTGTCTGGTAGGGTATAAAGATCGACATGGAATTCTCCCTCTGTAGGAATCGATTAGTTCTTTTGAATCTTCCGCTTTTCTTTTCGGAATGTGTAGCGTGGTTTCCGTGGAGAACTTACGTTCGACATCGTTCTTGGTGTACGAGTCTGGGGCTTTGTTGTCGTGTACCATCTGCACCACTTGGAGAAGGTCGTCTTCTCCGAGTCGTTGGAGGCCGTCGGCTAACTTGTCCATATCCACCTGCGAAAACGAATTTCATGTTAGGTTGTGCGCTTGGTTTTTGCTATGTATGAAGGTAGTAAGGGCCTTACGCTCTTCTCTGTTCGCTTCTTCTTCTTTGATCCTTCTTCGCTAGCTGCGGAACGCTTAGATTTCACTCCATTCTCGTCTCCGGGAATGGGCCCAGATTCACGAAGGGTTGCCAATAAGGCAGGCTTGGGGTTTTTAAATGTCTGACATCACGTATGAGCGGTTTCACTTGAGTGGATGTATGGACAGGGACGAAGACGGAGACACTTACGATGACGTGCTTGGACTCGTAGCGTGTCTGTGCAAAGTTGAGGTCGTGTGTCAAGTAATGATCCTTGTCGGCGTGAAGGGTGATTTGCATGTCGAATTCACCCCATCCTTCTTCTGAAATCCTGAACGGGGGGTTCTTGAAGGCTGTTGTCATTTTTGCGCGTTAGTGATATTTCCTCAACATTCCCGAAGGCTTCCGGCGATAACGCTTTCTTAAGAGAGTTTCAAGCTCAGGGCGTGCGGCTCAATTTGTGTAGAGGGAATATACACCAAGTGTTGGAAAGATGATAGGAAATAACGTACTTTGAATGGACCGATCCCCGAAACTAGGATGAAGTGTATACGTCACCTTGTCGAAGACGTTGGCCGGCACTTGCTCCCCATGGTCATTGACCAGGTAAATCTCGATAGACCACGCCCGGAGGGGGAACCCTTCAACACCCGAATCTTTGTTTCTATCGAAGCAGAGACGCGACCTGTCAGCAAAAGCCACAGCTAAATAAAAAGCCCTGTTGTCATCCCCGTAGCTTATAGTTATAGCGACGTGCAGAAAAACAAAGTTACCGCGCCTTGGTTGCTTTACAATCGCGACAACAAAAGTCAAGGTAACCAGTAAGTTTAGGAAAGTGTGACAGCGACGGGCGCGTAGGGTTGGCTGATGGGGATGGAATGGTTTCATTATAATGGGAGGGAGATCGGCGTGCAGGATTCAACATACACAACATGCTGTTCTGTGACCAGCCGGACATTCCTCTTGACCTAAATGGGGAGAAAGAGAGCGTTAGTCGAATGCGACAGCAAGCTGATAAACACATTTGCCAATTGGAGAAGACGGCGATGCGATGAATTGAAACAATCAGGAACTCACGTCGGGCATTTTGCCAGCGAACTTTGGTTACGCCCACCGGGAGGGGAGTAGAATAAGTGGAAAGTACTCGGTGAATGATGAGTTCGAGCTATCGAGCTCGGGGATTGCGCGAATGAAAGGTGAGGCGAGGTCGAATAGGACGCTTGTCGGTGAGATTCTACTAGGACTCCGATTGGGTGGAACCCTCAGAGATCGCGCGATAACCGCGTAAGGGTGTACCTGAATAGAGAGTTGTGGGAAGAAAGGTATTGAGGAGGGAAGAGTTCGGAGGGAGAGTGAAGAAGGTCGGCAAGGAAGAGGGGGGCGGATGAAGCGATCCGACTGACTTGACTTTCAGGCATTCACGACTTAGACGTTAACTGGTGGTCGTGGTCAACCTTTGCCGCTAGGGACCCTAAACCATCCAACATCATGAAATACCAGAGCTCGATACGCCCGTTCTTTCGAAGAAAAATTATGTGACTGATGACTCTACCCTACCCTTCCCATCACTTTTAAGGCCTATCGTCACCGCATATATGAGCATATGCACCTAACATATGCCAGCGGTGAAGTCTTGCAATAGCAACGAGATCTTTACGCGTGACACAGGAGATCTATATTTGATTTTATGAGATTCAATACATAACGGGGTCATCGTGCATTTCAAACATATATTTGCAGGGGTCCAGGGTCTACTGATCTACTGCCATATCAACATACATTCAACATCATCTGGTGAGGTTGAATGTGTGCCGGAAGCTGGCTCGCGATCTTGTCGCGACCGGTGTCAGTGAACCGTTCTCGTCGCGTAGTCGTCGGGGGATGGGGCTGGAGGATGTGACAATATCGGAAAGGATGTGATAGGGAAGGGGATTCAGATGGGTTAACGCTGTGTTGTCCACCGGCGAGTCTTATATTCACTCGTAGTGTTTTGAAGCAATCAAAAGGGTAATTAATGATAGTTCAT